GCTTGCGCCGGTCGTGGCCTTTCTGCGTTTTTGCGCGCGAAGCCGTGGGAATGACCGCAGGTTTGGCGCGTCGCGGAAGGAAGTAACCTTGACTTCTGAATCCGGTTATGTGCTCGTTAATCGATAGTGAATCTAAATGTTCTATAAAATAAGTATGTGTAAATGAGTTTTATATTTTTTATTGGAATAAATTTTACTTTACTTTACTCATTAGTCACATTCAAATCTCACTCACTTTTTTAGTTTCTGCAGTGGCACTTCCTAAATGTGTCATCAAGCAAACAGCTGCAGTGCTATTCTGTAAGAACAAACTCATATTTCACCTCGTTTGATATAAAATTTAAACAAGAATTTCAAATTTTCAAATCACACCGGAGAATACCGCAGTGAAAAGTGAGTTTGTTCGTACAGAATAGCACGGCAGATCTGAGAAAGTCAATCATTAGCAAGATCAGGAACGGAGCATTTAATTTGTTTCGAGTAATTAACTTCTGAAAACAATGTTTAAACAGATTATTAACTTTTATTAGGTTGTCTTCTAATAAATTATACAGCAAATACATGCAAATTCTTAACATTTTTGGTTTTTACATGAGAACTCTACGTGTAAAAAAATTTAACTAAACAAATTTATAATTACTTAAGATTAAAGTGACTCACTAAGATCACATAAAAACTTTGATCTTAAGTAACACATTCATAAAATGTTCGGATATTTATTTTAGGTTGATAGGCTCTTGTCGACAAACCTTACTTTTATTACGTGATTTTGCAATGGGTTGAGCTGGGAACACTGATGGGATAAATAAGAATTTAAAATGAAATTATATTTTTGGGTCGAGTAAGGAACAATATGTGGAGTAAGGAAAAAATAATGAGTAGGATGAGACGTCATAGGATGAATGAGGAAAAACCTACAAATCCATTATTTTCAGATGCATTTCATAATCCTACTAGGTACTCACACACACTTACATTTTTTTTGTTTTTTAAGAACATTTAGATTGGTAACAATCTTATCTCTCTTTTTATTTAATAGTAATCGTGGTTAAGCGATAAGTACTAAGTTATGTATTCTTATGTAACATATCGTCGTCACATGAAATATTCCTGCAAATTGCACAGTTACTTACAAAATATTGCTTACTAAATTGATTGCTTTTACAACACGTACAGTATATCGTGTGATATTACTACAAACTTTCGATCAGGTTTTCGATTCTGCTAACCTAACGTAATTTATAACTTGTAACTTTTTTTTATCTCAATATTAAGTTTTATATAATATTAAGTGTATATAATTAGGTAGCTATTAAAACACTCATGACTATATTGATATACCTACATTCGTGTTTTAATACCTCATTATACAACAGTTGCAAAAATAACTGTTATAGCTTGACCGCATTTATTCACTACATTTTCCTGTAATTACGAGTATGTCACCTTATAAGTACATCGGTATTTGCGTATAGAAATCTCATAACTCCTAAGCTCGCTAATGGGTGCCTCAGTAATAATTTATTAATTTAAGTGGTCCCATTGCATAAAGATTGTCATAATTAATGGCGTAATTAGAAAGAGACAGAGCTTCGAATTTGTCACGAAGCACTCGACAGATGAGCCTCATTATTCGCCGTCGCATCTCCTCACTGGATGTAAGTAGGATAGTTATACGAGTATATGTTACTTACGCGCTTATTTCGCTGTATAACTAATACTTTCAAGTCTGAATGAGAAAGCTTTTAAGCAACGATTTGCGATAAATGATAAAAGTCTATTAGGTAAATTGTCTTTTTTCAATTCAAATTATGTATAATTTTAGTAAATGGTATAGAAGGAAATACTGTTGCGGCTGATTTTAAATGTTTTAAATATCAAGATATACACTTTTTTCATTATACAAAGGAAGATTTTATTGTGATACGGGTTTCATTGATAAAAAACTATTTTACATCAAATAAAATGACCATATAGTAGACCATGTATGTATGTACCATAAAGACCATTGTTGTAATGCTTCGAGAACAAATTTTCCTAGTACACGGATGTCTTTTTTCTTTAATTTTCGAAGAAATACGTTCCGCAGTTATTTATTAATAACCCTTTCCTTATTTCTGATTCATAGTATCCTTAGCCGAGTATCAATTAAGCGTCCTCGCCATCCCAGATGTAATTAGGTAGCGTGTTCGAATCTCAATCGAGTCAGTTCGTAACTTGAAAATAATGTCTAGGTGGTCGTAGTACCATCTTTATAAATAATTTATATCAATATAAAACAAAATACATATTTACTGTCTTTTAAAAATTTAGATTACAAACTTTTAAGTTTTACAATTAATAATTTTTCATGTGCGATAAATTATTTAAAGGATGGCATGATACCAGCATAATTACAGGCTGCCTGGCTTATTCTGATACCTTTCATATTGAAATACGTCTGTTTTATGTAATGCAAAATGGATTTGCATTCTAAGCCGTCTCAAGTGACTTTATACAGCTCTGTGCTAAAAGCTTATGCTTGTCTGCCACTGTTATTTATAAATGCAATCACTATTGAATATGTAGTTAAATAATAAAAATAAAGACAACACACACAGGAATTTCAATTGTTATTGCTTAGTTTTACATATCAAAAGTTATGGAATATTGTCAGTTCAAATATTCAGAGGACAAACTTTTGAGCACAGGAAGATACAGAAGGTAGTATTATTATATTATTTTATTATTGATAAGATTAATATTATTACCCTTACATTTATAAAAATACTATTAAATTAAATAAGTAATTGATAAATATTAACAGTAGCCTATTTTTGCGGATTTATTTCGTCATCAGTTTTTTAGTGTCCCACTGCTAGACCTCCCCATATAGTCTCGGACATGTCCGACTAGTGCGACGTAGATCGGGGAGTTGTTTTACCTCGTAGGTATGGGAGATGAAGCACGACCGACAATCCACCATAGACCAGTTAGGAGGCCTCGACCAGAGAAGCCCAGTATCGTATTGGAGGGCGTGGAGTTGGTCACTTAACAGCGGGGTAGTCCCTTGTGCTTGGGCGAATGCCCTTTTGCCACTACGGATGGTCAGCGAGGTTGATCCGTGAGTAGTTTTATCTTGTAGGTATGGGAGACGAAGCACGACTGACTATCCACCATGGAGCATGGTTACAAATAGGTGGCTAGCCATTTGGCGCGTCGACCATAGAAGCCCAGGCTCTCGTTGCAGGGCGTGGAGTTGGTCACTTAACGGCCGCAGGAGCAGGGGATACTCACTTGTGCTTGCACAGGCGAATGCCCTTTTGCGACTGCGGATGGACAGCGATCTTGAAGCTCAACGTAACATGCACACATGCAAAGCGCAGCATACTACTTTCCACTAACCGAATGCAGAATATCGGATCATGTAATAATAATAATATTATTAATATAATAAATATAGAATTTTGTGGTAACAGAATTTTCTTCACAGCAAAATAAAAATAAATCAATCAAGTAGCAAATTGGATATTTAAATGTACCTGAATTACCACAGTACATTGTCAAAATCATATAGGACTACCTACATACAGCAAGCGCTGGCACAAAGCAAAACATGCCCGAAGCCCGAAGCATTATTGGCCGGGAGAAACACCAGTGATCTGCTTCGGTTTCGCTAGTCATTGATACAGCATATCGGATCATGTATCTACGGTACCATACGGGTGCATGATGTGGTATGCATAATGCATTTTTCTCCCCGTCAACGAAAAAAAGCCCTTCCCTAGAGTTGCTTAACTTCCACAATCGCGGACCATTGCGCCAGCGGGCTCTTTGTTGACTTATCTGTCTATACCTAAATTTAAACGACCTCCGCTTCAAATTTTTGGAAAGCTTGACCAGTCGATTTGTCTTTCAATATTATATGGGCAATACCATAGACGCAAACGCTATTGCAAACCTATTTTGCTCGTTCTTGTATTACTTATTAAAACATATTTTGGCAATAAATAGAAATTTATCTTGAACATCAAAGAAGAGATATTTCTTAATCAGCCTTCGTATTTGTGAAGTTAATTTAAAAGTTTGGGTTTTGCCGTAAGTTTTGGCTTACATGGAATAGTTGCGACATACTAAAGTTATTGATTAAATCGAAAACAAATTGAAATCATCCTTAAATTTTGTTACATATTACTCGATAGTTCCGTAACAAAATACTGAGGCGGCGTTTTTTCATCTATATTTATGTATAATTTGACTATAGTTAAAATACTTGAGAAGAAACAACCATTCACTATATATTTGACGTGACATTAACTATAGTCAAATTTAACTATGGATGAAACAACTTACTCGAAGCTCACTCAACCTTTGCTCTTGGAAAATAAGAACAGAAAATTGCTTCTACCTACTCTCATCATATTTTTCGATTCAATTTCCAGCATTCTCGAGTAAAGCGAGAACAATCAACCGTTTATAATCATGATCACTTCAAAGAGCATTTTTAGGGAACGGTAATTCAATTTTTCACCGCGTATACCCACTTGACCCTACATTTCTCCAATACTTCTCTTGTCAGCACAAAATAATTTAACGGCCTGTCCTTAAAGAGTGGAGTGTCGATTTCGTTTGCGGTACTTTTGTAACTACGTCCTAGCAGTTGAGTATTTGCCTTGTGTTGGCAGCATCATGATTCATGAATGGATGACCCTTAATTTTTTACTACACTTTCACACCTTAGCGTCTACAATATACATTTATTGCATTTGCCTAATTGTATTTAGATAGAATTTTGTGGTAGCATAGGATTTGCTTCACAGCAAAATAAAAATAAATTAATCAAGTTGGATGTTTAAATGTACCTGTATTACAACAGTACATTGTCAAAATCATTAGGAAAGTACCTACATACAGCAAGCGCTGGCGCAAAGCAAAACATGCCCGAAGCATTATTGGCCGAGAGAAACACCAGTGATCTGCTTCGGTTTCGTTAGTCATTGACATTAATTGTTTTCGACGAGGATAAAATATCAGTGCACGCCGGAGTGCTGACACGGCTAGCATTGTGTACTCATGGTGTATTGTGCTTCATTCATAGTGCATATTTTCGGGGGCGCCGTACCGTGGCAAAAGCACACCCAGTCAATTGTATAGTGCGATGTGCGTGCAACGGTCGTGTTTTCGTCTCTCGCGCCGCGCCGCACGAAAATGACATTCAGTTAAGTTAGAAAACCGATCGCCATCTGTTTTTGTGCCAATATGTGTTGCACGAGGTTCAGCAACTACATATTCCGGAGTGTTGTTAAATACACATGTGGATTGGCGAGCAGAGAGAGTGAGTACCTATTCGTGGTGCGTTTATTACGGGAGCAGTGTGGGCATCGTTACATTGTGCCGATAAGTTTTAGCATTATAACCACGATTTTGTTACGGATTATCGCAAATGTAAACAAAGCGCTCCTATTTATAACCAAACTCATTTGAGCGTTTAGTCGGCAGTGGTGTACTAATACTTATTTAAGTGTATTTTATTTCTAGTTTTCTTTAACAAACTTTAAGTTGAACCGTATAATCTCGATCTTTCCTTCGACAACTTTCTACTAACGCTCAAGACGTGTCGCATAATATGTCAACAATTCTGCGACTTGAACCGTTTTTGTTATGTTAATTATCTGCCGAAGCTCATTCAAAGTAAGATATTCGTGTAAACGAATATCCATTACAAATCATCCGAACAAATTTTTACATACCATGAAAAATTCTATGAAATTATAAACACCACTGTGTTATTGTCCCTTACAAATGTAGGTTCTTCGTTTACATAAATGTTTAATTATATTAAACAAGGTCATATTTTTGTATATAAGTCTAATATTAATCAGGAATGTTACCTACTTATGTATATTTACAACTTATTAAAGTTACTTTAAACTGACACACATACTCATGTAAACATAACCACAATTTGTTAAGAATTTATCATTTGTGGTAGGTAGTTAGTTCTTCAACTTGTTTCTATAAAGTTTACTATGATAGCTAGAGTACATATTATATTTATTTAAAACAAAAAAGTGCTGAGCACAATTTTTAAAATAAATATATATATTATATACTTAATGAATTTATTATAAGGAATGGGTGGAATGAGTGTTTTTATTGGTGTTATAGTTTATAGGTAGCACGTTATGATGGAAATAAAATAGATGTATTAAAAACAGGTTTGATCATTAGAATAAAGAATAAAAAAAACACATAAAAAGCACTATTTATAATTTGAACAAGGACATTCCTACGTAGGTAACTAAGTTTACACTTAGGTAGGTAACAACTACAAGTAGGTAATATTTTCGGTATTTTTTTGTTAAATTAATATTAATTCGCAATAACGTCTTAAAAGTGATTCATATATCTTAATATTAGTCGGCAACTCCGGGTGTCTGCTTATTAGAACACTGTGGGATCTCAATGTCGTTCGGCCGGTCATATAGGATTGGTGACCAGAAATTTAGTCGGGGCTGCACTGAGACCACGTTACTCCCCCTATTCCATCCACAGGGGAGGCCTGTTCCCACGTAGTGGGGACAATAACAAGCTGTTGATCTTTATTTTTCTTCTACATCAATCACTAAAACCCACTTGCAGCACATATTCATTGAACTCTAACTAGATAGGTATATCCCTTAAAAAAATATTAACACGTCAGTGTCAATTTGACATGATTGTATGAGTTTTAGTTAAATTGTGATTTTGCAAAATTGCTGCAAGTGGACCTCAGAGCCCATCTGCACATCGTCTGGTAGAAAAATCCAACTTGGTTAAAATAAACCTATAGAATAGACCGATTTAAATTAATAATTATATTTATTTATAAGAAAGAAAAAAAAGAAGAGAGCAAGCAATATAGCTGATTTTCCGCTCCCCAGAGTAGGGGATTGGTTCAGGGTAGGCAACCGTGCGAATTATATTTCTGGTATCGCAAGTAGTGTAGGACGCCTTGAGACAAGATGGGATGATGACATTCGTAGGCTGGCTGGAGTGGGCTGGATGAGGGTGGCCGAAAATTGGGAGCAGTAGCGTGCATTGGGGAGACCTATGTCCAACAGTGGACGAGCATGGGTTGATGATGATGATGAAGCGTTTATAGGCTACTGTGGCTGCTTACCATCAGGCGGGCCCTACGCTTGTTTGCCACCCTTTTAATATAAAACAAGAAACTACAACTTTTTCCAATCCTAAGCTACACGAGTCCGGCTCCACTTGAGCATTTTAATGCTACATTTTTGGATAAAATACATAAAATTAATAAAAAAAAATAACACAAGTTGCACATTTATATAGATACTTAGATGTAACAGTCTTGTTTTTGTAGTAACTTCCTGCGTTCTCTTCCGTTACATTCTCGGAATTAATTAAAATGTGACATGAAATAGAAAGTTATAGATCGCTGTAGCAAAAAATGTATACCCATTTGGGGCTGTTCAAGTATTACGTAAGCACTATAGGCGGGCAGGGGGGTCTTTGCTTTGCTTATTTTTGATAACATGGGGGGGTGGGGTTAGAGATGGTGATTACGTCAGCATCATCGATTAAGCCTTTTTAAGTACTGCTGCTCATGAAGCTCATGAAGCTCATGAAAGCTCATGAATCAATAAAAAAACAGAATACATTAAAGGAAAAATGCATATAGGTAGCAATGTTTACGTAAGGATGGGGGGAGGGGTAAGAGCTTTGCTTACTTTTGCTGACGAGGGGGAGGAGGGGGTAAATAATTGTAATAAATCTGCGTACGTAATACTTGAACGGCCCCTTTCTGTAGGTTTTTTTTGGTTTTTTCCTTTATCCAAATGAATGGAATAATATCGTATCAATCAGCAATTCTGCCAAAACCAAGTCCCAGTGACTTTATAATTGTAAAAGTGTGTACCTACGTTTCGTTTATTTTGTTACTCAATTTAGCTGAAACTACTATACAGATTTTAATAAAAGTTGGTACACATGAAGAACATATACCTTGAATTTAAAAAAAAACACGAAATTATACCTATCGTGGTATAACTTTCTCCTTAGGGACAAATTTGTTAAGACCATCATAAGATAAATGAAATTAATACAAATATAAATTAACAACCTAACTTATTATGAGGTATATTATTTATGGGAAGTATATTTTTATTAGAAAAAGTTATTAACCATCAAATACCTAGATTATTGAAAGAATTTAAATGAATGAATCTGGATGGATTGGATTTTAAGTTAATTTATTGAGTTTAACATTTTTGTGAAAATCGGCAAACAGATGAGTGACAAATTTTTTTTGTCAAGTTTCTTAATGGTTCGGGAGACACGTTTGGCATTTTTTCCAAAACGTCAACTCATCAGTCCACACTGACCCTGTTATTACAAGCTTTTATGACTATTCCTCTTTGTCCCCTGCGTTTCTTTAACATGTTTTGCAACTTTATTCTTTGAAAAGCAAATTTCAAAACTCTGTTATCCTTTCATAGTATCTACACTGTGACGTTCTAACGTTTAAATACTCCTTATATTATTACTACAAAAAAAAATAAACATGCGTTCAAAACGAGTTTAAGAACAGTCATACGAAATGCCTGAACAAGGTTTGAAACAATGTCTAACTTTTTTGTAGTAAGATCGTCCCAAAGTCTAACATGAGAAAAATGTTTTAACTCTTTTAATAAATGGGTATGTGAGCAGAAGTTATATAAGATGCGGTTACATTTATTTTTTCTACGTGTTCTAAAAAACAATTTGTGTGTGTTTAAAACGTGTTCGTATGTTATTTTGTTCCGAAAAATCTGAAAAAGAAAACAATTAAATTAGCGTGGCGTTCTCAAATATAGGTAGCTTATTGCATTCTTAGGCCCGTATTACAGAATTACAACTAAGTGTTGATCTTTACTTGAGTACAGTTAGAAAGGGATGTCGCTATGTGCTATACACACATATGCATCCCTTTCTAACTATGCTCAAGACTAGATCAATCACTGAGAATCTTTCTATAATACGGGCCTCAGTCTCCTACAGTGCAGACACTTATAGAATATTGAAATATCTTAATACACACATCAAAAGTGTCTAGGGATCAACATATATTTTTGCAATAACTATTCTCCTGATTGATATTAATTAAAATTTTCTTTAAGGATTCATCAAATAAAGTGTTTTCGTTTGTCACAGTAACGATAAACCAAGTCACCTTTGCATTAATAAAGAAATTAGCCATTTTCCTAATAAAGGGATTTTTGACATTTGAACCACTAACACAAAAGTTCGAAAAAAAGACTGAAATAACAGTTTTCTCTAAAATTTTATTGGGTAACTTAAACAATTAATAATCCGTATTTCTACCGCGAACACTAACAACACAAGAACATCGGTTTGGCATACTCAAAATGAGTTCATCCAAATCACGCTGTGGAATGGCCGCCCATGTTCGTTGCAACAACAAAAAAAGGTCTTCTTGCGACTGGATACCCTCCATATTCGGCAGAGCTCTTCTCTGTAGCATATCCCATGCATGCTCAATCGGTTTCAAGTCTGGCGACTGAGCAGGCCAGGGCAGGACATTGATGTTAGCTGCGGCGAGAATCTGTCTTACAACTCTTGCGGTGTGCGGTCGTGCATTATCATGCATTAACTGAAATAAGGGACCGATTTGGACTTGTAGAGGAACGATGACGTCTGATACAATCGTCTCAGCATAAATTTGAGCGTTGAGGTTGCCTCTGATCCAAATCAACTCAGTTCTTCCGCCGATCCAAATACCCGCCCATACCATGATGGTTCCACCACTATAAGGATGGACTTCCTGGCAGGATTTTAATCGCTGTTGGCGTCCAGGGGTTCTCCAGTGTCGTATACGTCTTGTATCCGGTCTCATACCAAAACGAGACTCATCAGAAAAGCACACGAAACGCCATTGTTCTTCTGCCCAATTTCTGTGTTCAAGAGCCCATTGATATCGAATCCTACGATTGTGCATTGCTATAGGTGGTACCCGTAGCGGTCTTCGGGAATGAAGGTTCACTTCATGCAAGCGGTTTCTGACTGTTTGGTCGCTAATTAAGTTCCCTGAAGAGTGATGAAGCCTCACGGCTAACATCATGGCGGTTATTGTTGGAGCTCTTCGAGTTAAGATTTGAATGTATCGGTCTTGTCTCCGTGTGGTGCAGCGATACCGTCCTCCATGGCGCTCAGCCACGGTACCAGTGCTTCGGTATCGTGTCCAAAGTCGACTGATAACACTCTGACTTGTATTCAGAGCTAAAGCCACAGTACGTTGCCGGGAACCAGCTTCTATCATTCCCACGGCTC